CCATACTTTGGTTATTGTTGATAGTGCTGCTATAAACATGGGGGTGCATGTGTCCCTTCAAAACAGCACACCTGTATCCCGTGGATAAATGCCTAGTAGTGCAATTGCTGGGTCGTAGGGTAGTTCTATTTTTAGTTTTTTGAGGAACCTCCATACTGTTTTCCAGAGTGGCTGCACCAGCTTGCATTCCCAAAGGAGCCCTGACATTTGCCTATACTGCCAAGGGCTTGGGAAGTCCCGATTTTCCCACTAAGGAGGAATGATATTATAAAGGCACATTTTCATCTGTAAGTCAGGGGAGAAGACTGAGCCTGAGGGCAGAGGCCTAGTGATACATTGTTCCAGAGGTCCCAGAAATCTTTGTTTTTCTGTTGGGAGAAAACTTTGCAGAGTAGGAAAGGGATCTGAGACTTTTGCTAGGGTTATATAGGGAAATGTCAGGGGCATAGGGCCATCTGAGAGGAATCAGGCCCCTTTCAGGGGGGCTAGGGAATAGGGGTCCTGGAACCTCAGCCTGGCCCATACCAGACTACCTATATTTGTCTCCTGACTCAGCAGCCAAGTCTCAGATGGAAATGGGGCAGGCTTTGGGAGTGGCCCCAAGGAGTACTGAAGATAGCCGATACTAGAGATAGCAGGTGAGATACCAGGGCTGGAGAGAGAGAAGGATATGGGGATGGGACACTGGAGAGAGAAACAAGACCATCAGATGAAGGGCAGTGACAAGGGGACATATGACTCCTTGATCACAATATGCTTCCCATCATTAACACACCCCCAATTCCTGATATACCCCTTTCCCCAGAAGGAAAACAAATTGTCAGAAATTTGACTGCAATAATAGCAACAGTAGTCAGTACTTGAAATCCGGTCTTTTCCCCCATTCAACAAATAGTTATTGGGCATCCATTATGCACCAGGTACTATTTTAGGTGGATAGAATGTAATGGTAAACAGGATGGGCAAAACAAACAAACAAAGCAACAAATAAATAGATGAAATAATTTCAAGATTTAATAAGTGACATAAAGGAAATATGCAAGTGTCTGAAATGGCTGGATAAGGTGGTCAAGAAGGACTTCATTCAGAAGATAGCATTTAAGCAAGACTCAGCAGTAAATATTGTGAAATCCCAGTTACAGTTCTATTTATTCTGTGATGGGTAAATAAAGTACTTTTCCCTTAAGGTGGAAACTACCAAGAAAGACTAATTACTAGAAATGCAATCTGGGAGAGAGACACCTCTTTCTGCCCCATTTAGCCCTTCCCTCCCAGGTGATTCTTCAAAGCTCTTTACCAGTAGGGGTGGGGCTGGGGGCAGGACTTAGACATTTGGCAACAGCGAAATATTATTGACCCATTAAGGGCAAAGCTGAAGAGATTTGGGAATGCCCCCAGAAAGACCCTTGATAAAGCTTGGAAAAAAGCTGTTCTCTGAATATGTCTAAGTATGTTTGTATGAATGTCTGGTTGCTAAATATGTGTAAGTATCAGTGTCTTTAGCTATCTTAGAGCAGGGCTTGACACTTAGTACACAAAAGTGGTAATTTCCTCTTCTCTCCTCCCCCATTATAGAGGTAAATCCAACCACAGAAAGGTGCTTCTCAATCCATCTATGCCCTTCCTTGACCTTATGGGCACCTGGACCCATCACCAAGGTGATGAGAGTCACAACTGGGCATCAATGGCAGGGGCTAGTTACTGCTCAAAAGTCATTGAAGGGGGATGGGGCCTCTTGCCGGGAAGAGTTAGTCTTGGACTCAGATTTCTGTCCAGACCCTGACCTTATTTGCGCTGATGTAATCAGCCAATATTGGCATAGTTCTGACAGACAGGACTTGGAGTTTCAGCAGGCTCATGGTGGGGGTGGTGCTGCTGCCATCTCTATATAGGGGGCTCATCCAGGTGCCCAGAGCTATCCTGTGGCATCTCAGCATGGCTCGTGCACTGGGAGTACCAGTTGCACTGGGGTTGTTGGGCCTGTGCTGGTCTCTGACCTTTGCCCACCCTCTTCCTCCGTGAGTAAAGCTGGGGTTGGGGAAGGACTGGGGACTGGGCTAAAGTGGGATAGGGCCAGTTTTTAGGGCCCTGCAAGTTTGAAGACAGGAGCTAAAGGAGAGGGATTTGGCCCAGTGGATCCAGACAACTATCTGTCTTGTCTCTAGGGATGGTACCCCTGGGAACGGAGCTGAAGGTGGGAGTGGGGCCAGAGTGAACCCAGATGTGACAGGTGAGGCCCCAGCTCCCTGAATCTGTCTGTCTGTCTGTGTCTCTGCATTGTATTACCTGACTGGTCTTTTACTTGTATCTCCCCATCTCCATCCCAGAACCCTGTTCGGATGGCTGGAGCTTTGATGCTACCACCCTGGATGAACATGGGGCCATGCTCTTTTTTAAAGGTAGGAGGGGCTGGGTTTGGGGCATTTGGGACTTCAGACTTGGTCCCATTCACTGAGGGTGTATCTGTCTGTGGAAGATCTCAGAAATTATCTGAGGGTATCATACACAGCTTCTCTGTAACTATCTCAGTAGGCCAAATGTTTGTTCTGGGTCCCTCAGAGTGTGTGTTTTTCAGGGGAGTTCGTGTGGAAGAGTCACAAATGGGTCCGGGAGTTAATCTCAGAGAGGTGGAAGAATTTCACCAGCCCTGTGGATGCTGCATTCCGCCGTGGTCACAACAGTGTCTTCCTGATCAAGGTACTTCTGGGCCAAGGTCAGGGCTGGGCCGGGAAGGGCTGGAATGGACATTATAGAGCCTCCCACAGGTGGCCCTAGCATGGACTCCTTACCTGTAGGTTCCAGATTTCCTCCCCCTGTGCCTTATTTTCCTGAAGAAGCTCAAGCCAAGGGAGTGTATGTGCATGTGGGCCTGGCAGGCATAGCATCCAGGGGCTATTCTTCAGGCCCAATCTTTATACAGACTTCTCTGCTACTCCTGATGCTTTTGTCCATCCTTTCCTTTCTGGTAATTTCTTCCCTTGATTTCCATGACTCTGCATCAAGTACTCTTTGTATGGTGGCCAGGCTGTTCACAACAATGGCGTCTGACTAGGGTGTGAGTGGAAGATGAAATCAAGTCTTCTGTGCTCACCAAGTCCCATGCCCTGGCCCAGGCTATGTCTGCTCAGAGGAAGGGGCGCCTTCTCCTAATTTGCATAAGGTGCTGTGTGCTTGGGGCAGCCCTCGCTGCCAGCTTGATTTCCCCTCCTGCCTCTTTCTTGCTCTTTTGAAGCTTCTTATCCTCAGCCAGTCCCTGTATGTTCCTTGGAGATCTGTCCCAGATATACCCTCCCTGGGTGATCTCAACCATTGCTACAGCTCTGAGGACTCTCTGTGTTGTGGACACCAGATCTGGATATCTCCCAGAGCTCCAGACATCTCGTTCCTATTTCCTGCAGACATCTTCAACTTAGATGTTCTGTAGCACCTCAAATTCAATATCTCCCAAACTGAACTTAGTATCTTTCTCACAAACCTACCCTTCCTGCTGTGTCCCCTGTTTCACTAAGTGGTACCACACTGTGCCAATTCCTACAAGTCAGGTACACATGGGGCTCGAGTTCTGGCCTTTGGTTATCTTTCCAAGCTCTTCTCCTCCCCCACCACATTCACTGTGTGCCAGCTACATGAGACCACATGTAGTTG